CTCAAGCGTGACGTTGGCCCACGGGGTACCTGGCGGCGTCTATCTATGGGGCCTTCCCCTCACTCTTTGTCTCTCTCGCTCTCTTTGATATCCCATAAGGCAAGGCAAAATAAAATAAAACTCCCGCGAAGGGAGTTCCCTTCTCCTCGCGCACACACGCGCAGCTGCTCAGGTAGCACGAGCTACTTCCACATTAGAGGACGGAACTGCCATGGGGTGCCCCACTGGTGCCCCATTGAAATTCCGTCTGGCCAGACGCCCGGCTGCTCCCTTCGCGCGCGCGTACGCGCCGTACGAGTCGAGGGGGAGCGAGCAAGGAAAAAGAAAGAGATTATCAAGGTGACGGAGGTACGATCGATTTTTGCGGGGGCATTAGTACACGGAAGCGGATTCGTAGGGAGCGCGCGATCCCCGGCACGGAAGGGAACGAGCTCACTTCCGAATGCCAGCGTGTACGCGCATTCGTCACGCATCGAAAAGCGTGCACGCGCTCGATTATCACCCGAAACGAAAAAGTCTATCTTCCCGTTTTACATTAGAAGGAGAGGAGGGGGGTGGGGAGAGAGAGAGAGAGAGTCTGTATGGACGAGAGGTCGTATGGTTTCACAATTACCTATTGAATCTTTCCTGCGAAGGAAAAGAGATGATTTTGGATCCAATCGAACGTCGCTTGGACGGACGAAGCTCGTTCGAACGAATGTTAAATCGAACGTGCAAATTATAATCATCGTAACAAATTATTAGCTGATTCAATAATATCGTGATGAGTCGAGCAATCGCGCCGGTGCGCGATTCACCATCGCGTCAACGAGCGACTTGTTTAACGGTTTATATTTGCTCTTTTTCTTCCTTTTCGGACGGCCAGAGTAATTGGCGCGAGCGACACGATGAATGCACGCCGTTGATGTATCGGCAAGAATTTCCGGACAATCGTAGACAGATTTAACAACCTTGTCCTCCTCCCCCTCCTTCTCCTCTTTATCGCGATTTCTCGCTTGAAGCTACCGAGGTGTCTCGTTAGCGTGACGGTGCGCGGTCGTAGAAATGTCCAAAGAAACGTCCAAAGAACGTCTTCTTTTCCCTTCTCCGCGTCCCCGACCGATCGTCTTTACAAACTGCGAAGGGCCAGCGGGTAGTATGGGCCTAATTGCGGCGGGCGCAACTTGCCGAGGGCTTTTACAAAGTAGTGGAATTGTGCGACGCATTTGTGCCAAAGTGGCCCCGCCACTTAAACGGTTTCTAAGCGCCTAATAACGCGGTCTAATTCTCGTCGCGCGCGAAGAAAAGAAGAAGGCGCGATTTGTCGCCGCTCGTAAATCCGCCCGGCTAATTCTCAGCACGAGACATCCGGTTTTCCGGCGAGGCGTTGCGGGGGCGTTTCGTGTGGTAAACATAATGTCGTGCCCCGTGAAACCTGCCTACTCGCTTGCCTGCCTGCCCGTCCTCCCTTTTGCACGCAGCGTCCCTTCTCATCTCACCGCAACGCGTGCCAGCCGTGGCTCGGCGAATCGCGGCTTCACCGCTGGAAAAACACCTGGGGGATACCATTTCCCTCTTCGCGGTCTCCTTTTCTTTGAGAGAGCTGCGCGTCCTATTTATCATGTGCATCGCGACACTCGTACGCCGCAGCTCTCTCTATCGCACGATTATAGAAATAAACCTTCTTCCACGAGTCAACATTTCGGTTGTTTTAATCCTGCGTATAGCGTCGGGAAGTCCTCGAGGATCAATGGAGAATATCTCAGTTGTTATTCTCTCTCGGTAGAGTCCTCTTTATCGGCTTTGGAAAGTTTAACAACGTTTGAGTATCTGAATTCGCGTTCTGGAGAAATATTATTAGGAATATAAATCTCGGCACCTTTGGGACTTAAACTGATATTCATAGACGTAAATTGTTCACAGTCATTGATTAAGCATAATTAATTGCAGACTCGTATTCATAGAACACTGTTCGCCCGATCGAGAGGATCAATATTTCTTGTATGAAATAAAAAACACCGATTAAGCAATGAAAATGAGAGGGATTCATGAAATTACTGTTGTTTACCAAACACTGATGGATTGCGAAAACCGGTTCGAAATTATGACTACATTCAATCAATTCGACATTAAACAACAAGCTAATCGCAGATGCACCGAAGCAGTTAAAGTAAACGTCCCCGCATTGGTTTAAGCACTGAAAGCTCGAGTGTGCGCGGCGACAAGAGCGCCTCATTTTTTGACATACTCATGACAATCGCCAAGAGCAGAGTATCGCGCGTGCCTCTTCTCGGAGCCTAAGGTTGTTCCTTTACGTATCGCTATCCACCCACTCGAGTCACCATTCGTGCGTATTCAAACGCAGCGTCTCGGCACGGGGCACGAGGAGAAAGCAACAGAGAAAAAAAGGAAAAAGAGAAAGAGGAACTAGATGAGCGAATAAAGTAATAGGGAACGATCAGAGGGAGAACGAAAGAAAAAAAAAAAAAAACACGCACGCGTAACTATTGCCTGCGCTCTCTCTCCCCCGCCCGCCCGTCTCCCTCTCCCGGCCGTCGTTAAATGCGGAATTTCGTTCGCGGCAGATTGGTCGATCCTCTCAACGGTATCCGGCACCAATTTCGAGGCTCTCGTCTATAACGGGAGATTAAGAGTACTAATAACGTACGAGCGGAGAACCGTTCACGGGGCCGCATACTACCGCTACACACCGTCTTTCGCCGCATGGCGCACAATGACTTCGAAACATATGTCGAACGACGGCGCGGTGCTCTTCCTCCGCTTTCTCTTTCTCTCTCCCCCTTTTTCTCTCTCTCCCTCCCCCCTCTCTCTCTCTCTCTCTCTCTCTTCCGACGCCGGCCCGCATCGAGATGCGTTATTAACGTGTGCGCGCGAGGGTGAATGAGCGGCGTGTGGGTGGCGGTAGCAGGAGCGTGAGCGTGAACGAAAATGTATCGTCGGTCGAGCAACCGCGCTCGAAGAAAGAGGGAAAATGGTGCAGCAGCAGCAGCAGCAGCAGCAGCAGCAGCAGCAGCAGCAGCAGCAGTAGCAGCAGCCGCAGCCGCAGCAGCACGAGGTGAAGGAGGAGAGTGGGGAAGGGTGAGAAATCCATTTTCACGTTTAGACCGCCGTCGGTTTGTAGACACGTGGGTGGAAGACGACGAAGGGGAAGTGGGGAGCGAGCCATCTGGTTCCAGGTCGGAGCCAGGTCCTATCGTTTCGAAGGCATGCTCCCGCCGCGAGGGTCTTTTAAATCCACCACGAGAGACACGCACCTTGAGACCTGTCCCGGCCAAGGACCCTCGAACGCTTGGCCCTTTAAAAATCGACACTGCGCCGCGAAGACACCGTGGCGCCCCTCGTGTCCCTTCGGCCGCCTTCCGCCGACGATTTGGAGGGTAATCGCCGGGTGAATAGTAGCGCGCCTCTTTTCATTTCCGTCCACGCTCGCCCGCGTACGTTCTTTCATTCGGCCGATCTCAATGAAGCCCGAGCTGGACGATCGAGTATTCAATTTGTCGCGCGCTTTAATAGCCTTAATGCCGGAAGGAGCCCGCTCACCTGCGAGGTGTAACCGAGCCACTCGACGTCGAGCCCAACGACACGGTGAGTGGCGCCTCTAATTGATACTCGTGTGTAATTGCGAAATAAATGTAAATATTTAACGTCAGTCTTTTGCGTGGCTGAGAAAAGTGGGGAGAAGAGAGAGAGAGAGAGAGAGAGAGAGAGAGAAAGGGAGGGAGGGGGGAAGCAGACAGAAAAAGAAAGCGCGTTCTTCTAAAAACAGTCGGTACGCGGTCATAACATGGCGACACTAGACAATCCCCCAAGCGGAGGGTATATCGACATTACGCGAACACGCACGTCGTACCCGGCACTGTGTTTGCACGGAAGATCAGCGTATTGTTGACAGTCGACCGACAAAGCCAAATTAATTTGCAAATCGCTCTTCGAGCAGATCGCGGAACATTGCGTCCGCTATGATTGCGCAGCGCGATCGCGAGGGAGGCGGTTATATTGAAGCAAGAGGAGGAGGAGGAGGAGGAGGAGGAGGAGGAGGAGAAGAAGAGGAAAACAGCGCGCGAGGCGGAAAGGGGCGAAGAGGAACGCGTCGTCTTCAAGTGCGCATCGAGAGATCGAGGAACCGAGGAAAGAAAAGGAGAGAGAGAGAGAGAGAGAGAGAGAGAGAGAGAGAGAGAGAGAGAGAGAGAGAGAGAGAGAGAGGGAGAGGAAGAGAGAAAAGAAACGAGAAACAATTGCAGTTCCGGACGCGCCGCTACGGCGAACGTTTCTAACCCGTGACTCCACCCGCACGCGCCCTCCGCTCGCGTCAGCCCCCTTTTGTTTTCTTACGTAGCGATTCCTCTCCCCCGATCCGTCCTGGATTGCCGTTTCGCGTATATTCGCGGCGAGACAAGCAAGCGGAGGTTGCATCGCCGGCGCACACGCGCTTTCCCGTCTGTGACACGCTTGTATACGCCGTCGTCGACCCGTGGAGACGGCTTGACAGTGAGACTTTTATTAGGGAAGAAGCGCAGCAAGCGTGATTATATACCTTACAGCGCGTCTCCGCGTTCCCCCTCGCGAGCGTCCCACCCCTTCGCGATATCCTTTCTTCTTCGTTTCTGCAACTCCGACTCTCGACGCCCGGCGTCATCACTGACGTCGCGCGACGACGAAGCGGCCGCCGCCGCCGCCACCGCCGCCGCCGCCGCCGCCGCCGCCGCCGCCGCTGCCGCCGCCACCGCCGCCGCCGCCGCCGCCGCCGCCGCCGCCGCCGCCGCCACCACCGCCGCAACGCGCCGAGTCGCATTGTCCTACCCCCGGCTCGACATTCATATGTGCGCGCATTGGCGTAGAACTTGGCGAGAAATTGTCGGGCGGTGCGATTACAATGGGCGATCGCTCGGCGCGCTTTGTCTCGCGCGCGAGCGACAAGTATCGAGCTTCCCGGCGGAAGGGAAACTCCACTTTTCACGGGTCGCGAACCAATATCGCCGCGGGAGTGATAATATACTTACGTTGAACGTTGCCGTGGCGGTGCGAAAGGTGCCGTCCCCTGAAACAAAGGATCATAATTGGCTTAATCGTCCTGTAACGCCGCGAGTCACGGCGCTGTCGTCTTAATTAGCTTTCTCATCTTTCGCGACGACTCGTTACGCGTCGTGCGCGCCGGAAAATAGCGTCGGAATCGCGCTGTTCGTAGAATCGTCGGCCGTTTTATCGCCGTTTAGCGTGTGAGACGGGGATCTTCTGCGCGAACACCCGGAACGAATATCTCGGTTTTGCCATCGGCCGCTTCGACAGTCTCGCATCCGCCACGTGACTAATAGCGATTTTGTGCGAAAAACGCCGTCGCACGCCGAACTTTCGTGCATTATCGCGCGGCATAGACAAATTTGTCAAAGTGAAATTCCGGAGAGCTCTAAGCCGCACTTCTCGAAATTTGCATATCCACCTCGCCAATGCCGCCCAAGGCGATATTGTCGTCACAATGAAACCCTCTCCAAAGCTCGCCACCATCCCCGACAGAGTCGCATGGACGATGCAACGCGCGCGTGTCGGCGACGAGCTTTTGCTTCGCGTCACACCTACCAAAGTTCGCGAATTTCGATCGCGCATAAATATCGAGGTGATATAAATGTAGCGCGCGCGCGCGCGTGCTACGTCCTGCCGAGGGATTCCTCGCCGCACGATGGCTCGCCGTTGAAAATAAACTGCTTCCTCGACGAGACAGGAATTATTTAACTGAAAGTGCTCGAAAAATAGAAGCGTCGTCGAAAATTACCCTTGCGCGTTGCTAATAATAAATAACGTGCGTTTGTTCTCTTCTTCTCCTCGTTCTTTTCTTTCCTCGCAATATCGAGATCGACAGCGCTTCGATTCGCGCTTATAATCGTCAATATTATCATCGTCGCATGTATGCGATACTCGAGACATCTCGAGGAGTCGCGCTGCATTTCGATCTTTATTATCTGAGGCTTCAAGTGCAACGACGTGGACTTTCGTACACTGCATTGTCCCGACTAGGAATGCACAGGACGGAGGCTCGAGGAAGCCCGGCAGGAGGACGAGGATGGCCAAGGAGGTCGTAGGTGTGAGGTGCTGTTCGACGCCAGTATCTGAGACAGTTTCGGCCGGCAAGACTTAACAAATAGGCAAAGTTTCGCCGTGAGGATGCCAGAGTTTGCGGATTCTCCGGCGCAGCCTCGACATCCTCTGTCCTCTTTGTCCTTAAGTTTATGATATATTAGCTGTTCTCTCTACCGTGCCCTCCCACCTCCCTCTCGCTCTTTCCCGTTCTTTCCCTATCCATCTTCCGACGTGCCCTTTCCACCGTCCCCTTTCCACCCCACCGCCGCCCTCTCCCGGGAGTTGACCAATTTATGCGGCTCCGAGATTTAAGTTGGTTAAGTGAACTTAAACAGCGACACACCGAAATATAACGCAGAGTCGCAAAGTTCGTTGTTAATTAGAAAACTTGGGATAATGGCGGCGCGATGCTGCGCCGTGCCAAAGAGGATGGACGCACTCACCACGACAGCGGTGACTTTCCGTTCTACGGAAGACTCTCCGGAAGGTCCTATCTTGGCGCGATATCAACTGCAAACGTCGAGATACAGACCGATCGCGCGTCGTTTCAGCACTCGACACGTCCGTTCGCGCGAGTCCCCATCGCTCCGAACTCTCGTCGGCCCGCGTCTCCGACGTACGACCCGCGATCGGGACCTCCCTCTGTCTTCTTGCACGCAGACGCGTTTGCCGCCGCGGGATTAATAAACTTTGTCGCGTTTCGGCTTAGCCCGCTGGCGTAACTCTCCGCGCCGGGGAGAAAATCAATACCCAATACACATCCCAAAGGTCCGCTTATACTTGTCGCGCTATCTCGCTTTTATCTCGATCGTATCTCGCATATTGGCGTACGCCTGGCATCTACACACACACACACACACACACGTCGTCGCGCTCCGTCCTGCCGCTCCCTCCCCCTCCCCCTCCCCCCGCCCCGTACACGCGCGCGCGACACGCGTAACGCGGCTCCGCGACACACGTATCGGCTGCCGTCACCCGCACACACGCACAGACACACGCACACACCCACCGAGCCCCGTTCACACACCCTCTCTCCTCGTGGGCTCTCTTCGGGGTGACAGATGGCTTTGTAGACAAAGAACTTAGCCGACCGGTTTTCGTGGACGTTGCGTAACCCGATAAAAGCAAACTCAAAGTCGAACGTTCGAACATGGCGGAATCGTCGCGCACCCTCGCCTCGCCTCGATGGGGTTGAAAATCAAATCCCCGGGCGTCTCGATGGGAGTCTTCGTCCGGCCAAAGATTGCTCCTGCCGGAGTCGTCCCGTTCGCGCGCACCACCAGCTCTCTCTCCTCTCCTCTCCTCTCGAAACCCGTTCTGTCCGTCACCCCTTAATGATCAATCAGATGTTCCCTCTTCCCCCCTCCTGGCCCCGCCACCCTTTTCGTGGCGGGATGGCCGAGTCGCGCCGCTGATCGTGTTTGAAGCGTACTTCGGCGTCGTTCTACGGCGATTAGACGATTAGGAGAGCTTTCCTTTGGCAGGAAAGCGCGTTAGCGCTCGCGGCGATCACGTCGAGTGTAGAATTAGCCGCGCGTCCGCCATTGTGTGCGAATGCTCCTCTTGGCGTTCCCGCGTTAAACTCTTTTCCACCGCACGGTGGCCGCACGGTTATACCGCACGCCATGCGTAATAGACTTAAAAATAGTTTTCTAATGTGCCCCGCGCGCGCGCGCCGGGGAAGTACGCACGCTGATACATTATAACGCGCGCGTATAGTTATGACGTACGGCGCGCGTTGTTGGAAACAGATTTATAATTAGTTTCCTGTTGCCGCGACCGCGTAAAGCGTATATGCGCGCGCTCGTTAGGTATAGAGTCGGCTTTGACGATTTAGCCTCGATACGCTTGTCCGAGCATTGACACGATATTTCTGGATATGGATTATATATTATACGCATTATTCATTGTGCAGGTTGCATCATTTATGCGGCGCTCGTTGCGCGAAAGACTAGCCGAAACAACACGCGTGCCTATGCGTTAAATATGAAACAAAATAGTTATTTCCACCGGTAGTAGGCGGCTGTTTTCTACAATATTCGGCAGGGTTCGCGCAAACCTCTCTCGTGGGATACGGTCGGGGATACGTTCCTCCGCGTGTCAGTGTGCGAGATAATTTCGTCGTGCCAGCCGAGTTGACACGCGCTCCTTCAAACGAGATTCAGCGGCCTGGTTGAAGATGATCAGCATTCGAGGACGAGGACTTCATGTTTGATGTGCAATTGCAGTTTGGTAGTTTTCAAATTTTTACGCGACACGCCTGGCTAATCATTGTGTACGATATATACGCGACTACGTCCCGATGCATTCGATAAATTTCGTCGAGCGGTCGTTTCTTTTTCGGGAGTGACGGCAATACGAGCGTTAAGCTCTTATCGATCTCACGGTCTGATGGAAACTCATGGAGGCCAGCTCGCCGAACGAGCGAGATATCTTTGTGCGATGAGATTGCTTTCGGGCTCTCGTCTTACGTTCCACGGATGATTGAGCATGCGTGAGCGCCGTACGCATACGCAACACACGAGCGTGCGTGTGCACCCAGAAAGGGGCGTCGCGCCGATGGGTGATACAATGGACACGTGGCAGAATCTAATCATCGCGGAAGACTCAGGGCGAGTCTGTGTTCTTTTTTAAGTTTCCTATTCAGCGTGTTAACTCCCTGGAAATTTATTAATTCGGACCAGCGTCAGTGTCAGATCGATACACACACATACATACGTCGTGTCGCAATTATCTCTGGTAAATATATATAAAAAAGGGCACACCTCACCGACTTTTTTCATTTTGAAATATTTCATAAAGGATGAAATTCTGAGTGATTTCCTGATACAACTATACGGGGGTCACTTATAGTGCTTATCCGAAATATTTGATTTTAAAGTTTTGGAATTTTGATTATCCTGGAATTAAATTCCAGATATCATAAGCTGACGTTATTTACAGTACAATCTGAACAGTTAATTCAAACATAGTGTATACATAGAAATATAGGAAACAGTACATATAAGCGGGAGAGGAGCTCCGCCCCTCCCCCGTATCCTTTCCGCAAAGAGATCCTAACCTAACCTAATTTATTGCATCTTTATATATTGTTGGGCGATGTTGAAAAGATCTCCTTAAAAGCCACAACACCTAATTATATGCAGATATTATAATAAGTTAAGTTGAACCAGGTGATAGATCTTAAGAGAACTTTTTTCAACAATGTCCAAAAATATATAAAGACGCAATAAGTTAGGTTAGGTTAGGATTTGTTTGGAGACGAGCGGAGCCCCTCTCCCGCTTATACGTACTGTTTCCTATACTTAAAGTGAATGAAAACTGCTTGTCTACTTCAAATATACTTCAACGTACAACGACCTCCATATAATTGTATCGTGAAAAGTCACTCAGAATTTCATTCCTTATAACATATTTCAAAATGAAGAAAATTGGTGAAGTGTACTCTTTTCTATATATTTACCTTATCTCTCTCTCTCTCTCTCTCTCTCTCTCTCTCTCTCTCTTTCTCTGCAAAAGAGAAAGAACGAGCTGCAATCTCGAAATAGAAATAAACGTTCGCAACTCGAGATGGCTGTAAGTAAACAATTATAGACTTCCACTCGTCCTTTCTTTCTCTTTTATAAGCGACCCGCTTTTGACGAAGCACGAAGCTAGCGGGCTGTTAATCAGTCCGGTGAGTCCGGTGACACGGCGCTCTCGTTTCCTCTCTTTCTCTCACTCGAAGACTTGAGACTGACGATAATCGAATGGAAATAAATCTGTCCGTATAAGAGGTCAGCAGGAATACGGCTCTCTCTCTCTCTCTCTCTCTCTCTCTTACAATTGGATTTATTATGCGTTCCGGATGCCATACGCCAAACGTATATCTCTGCGGCGCGCATTGTCGCCCGTCGAGAGCGAAGTCGTACTCCCGTATCTAAAGTTGGTATTCGATAACTCGACGTTCGATTAAGCGCTCTATCG